GGGTTTAGCTAGCACTTTACCTGCCAGGCGGCTAACACGGGAGGCAATTTGGGCTGGCCAGGCACATCCCCCTCCCCAGCCAAGAGTGTGAGGGCACCAGCTGGTTGGAGTAACAAGCTCTTTGCTGGAGCAAGGCCAGGGAAGCAGGCGTCCTACAGCCCAGCTGGGGGGCCCTAGCAGGAAGGCGGGGGGGTCCCCTTTCCATCCTGGCCCGTGTGGCCCATGGTACAGTCGAGCACCCCCTGCCACGTGGGGTACCAGCCAAGCTGGGACGCTGTGGTCTCACCCAGACCGGTACCACAACACCATGACCCCTGCTATGGCACTGTGCTTTCTGGAGCGGCTGGTAAGGTGCCAGGGCCAGGAGGGAGGCAAAGCTTGGCCAGGAAAAAAAGGCAAACATCATAGCAAACATCTTTTTCTGTTGTCATTGTGGTTTATCTTCAGGAAGAGGATGAAACAGACTAAGCCAAGCCAACACAACCTCAATTTCTGTGATCTGGAGACAAATTTTGCGCTCTTACCCCTGAATTCCATCAGGCTCCGGGGCTTTGCCAGCCCTGCTGACATCCTCACAGCTCTCGGCAGCAGAAACCCTCCCCCATCCGAGCGCTTCCTGGCACCATTTGTCAGGAGCAGCCACCATCTGCTAACTGCCGAGATTTCGGGAAGCCTTGGCTGTGCCGGACCCGGCAGCAGCGCAGGGCGGGTTACGCACCGCGGGCCTTCAGGCACGAGAGCACGGCTAAGGGTGGCTCCAGGCAGGAACTGCTCTGCCGTTCCGCGCTGCAGCGACACCCAGGCTCCAAGACCCAACGTAAGGCGCGTGTGATGGAGAGAGGAATTGGGCGAGGGAGCTCACAGAGGAACAGTTAAGCCTGGTATTTCTGCTTGATCGTTAACCCGCAGGATTAGCAAATGCCAGAAGCCTGACGGGAAAGCCTAGCCCTCGCCCTGCTGCCGGCAGGGAATACCGCGTTTCAGGGAGGGGGAGGAAAAGCCGGACGGGCAGCTGCAGGCTCCTTGGCTAGGAGGAAGGTCATCGCAGAGCAGAGTCACTGCAGGGGGAAGGGGAGACGGAACAAACGGAAAACTCGAGCGGAGAAGGGCAGCAGCTGCCTGGGAGGGGGGCAACTGTAGCGTCAGTTCTGCAGAAGTGTCCTGCTCTCGGACCCAAGCGGCAACTGTCACTTTGTCCAGGCTGGCTCTTCCGTTCCGGCCGGGCATCGCCTGCCATCCCGCTCCCAGTACTCCGGCCAAGGTTGAGGCTTTTCATTCCCCAGCCCCAGGAGAAGCAGCGAAGCCCTCACATTTGGCATCTTCCAGAGGAAGCCGGCAGCAGCCGCGCGGTTTGTGCCAGAGCTCCCACAAGGCAGCCCCGCAGCCCAGCACAAGGCCACGTCGCGCCGGCAGGCAGCGGCCTTGGCCTTAGCACGGAGGCTGCTTGACTGAAAAGGTGGCCTCTTCCATCCTACCACCTCCAGCCTCCGCTCAGCTTTACCGAGCAAGAATGACAATAAAGCCCAGAGCAGAACGCAGAGCCTGCACGTGTTTCTCTTCTCAAAGACACCTCAATTGTGACATTCCCAACCCCGATCTCGTTCAGCGTTTGGGTGGTGCCTGTGCCAGGTAGCAGGGGAAGTGGCTGCCAGTATTTGGCCGCCTCCCTTGAGAAGGGAAGGAGGGAAACAGGCTGGGCCGGGCCGGAAG